GTATGAATGCATGCACATATTTACCTATCAGAATGTCCATAGTTAGTTTTGGGGTGTGTCCCTCTATGATTGAGTGACATTAAGTGGAAAATGTCGGGGAGGACGTTTGAGAGTGGTGCCCAGAAAAGAAAAAACTTATTAAGAAGGAGTTGCGCGAAAAAGATCTATTAAAGAGCATCCCAAAGCCTCACCTTGCAGAGGATGTGTATTAATGTGTGTAGGAGTCATGACATGAGTAGTAATAGAGGGAAGCAGTAAAACCTTTTCCACTGCAACAAATTGTGGTTATTCTTTCAGACTTCACCTGATTTATTTGTTGTTGTTGCAAACTACTGGAGTGAACTTTAACCACTGCTGAAGACAGTAGTGTGCTTCCTGCTTGTGGCACCAACCTGGTTTCAACGTGGCGATGCCTCATGCACAGAGCGAGCTCCATAAAGAAATGGTGGTTTTATAAGTGTGTTGTGGAAGAACTTGGCCAGCCTACACAGCGCTGGAGGATGAACCTAACCCTAACCCAAACTGGGCCTTACTGTCCGAGCAGCGGCAGACCTCACTAATGCTGCTGTAGCTGAATGAGAGCAAATCCCTGCAACCAGGATCCAAGATCTGGTGAATAGCATTCCCAGAGGAGTGAAGGCTGTTTTACAAATTAATGGTTCTGTGTGAAATGTTCACCGAGGTATCCACATACTTTGTTCAGATGTCTACACTGTTTGCCATGAAGTGTATTTTCTTTCTAATGCAGACGTACTGCCTTGCCGTGCTGGGTCAGATAATTCTCATCCCCTCTTCCCTGTGCTCATTCAGGTGTTGGCTCAGAATTCCTCCCCAGCACAGCACGTCCAAAAACCGAAGCGGACGCTCCACTGCTGTCTTCACACGGCCGCAGGAGGAGACAGCTAAAGGTGGAATATGACAAGGATGACGGTGTTACACCTGTAAAGACAGAGCACTGGGAACCTCTGGACTGGAAGAAACAATTAGGATACATTCGTGAGATGAGACGCAACCGTGATGCACCTGTAGATAAGATGGGAGCAGAGAAATGCTACGAAACAGAGGCCCCTGCACAGGTAGGTGTGGTTGATTTATTTTAAGTCTGTATGATTTACTAGTTAAAATAAATTCATCTTGCTGCTTCTGTTGTCTTCTCTGCTGGCACAGGTGAGACGTTTCCAGGTGCTGGTTTCGCTCATGTTGTCCAGTCAGACCAAGGACCAGGTGACAGCAGCAGCGATGCAGAAGCTCCGAGCTCACGGCTGCACTGTAGAGAATATACTAGCTACTGACGACGAAACACTGGGGAAACTCATCTACCCTGTCGGCTTCTGGAGGGTAATACAGAAGGCCGTTTTATCACTAAAGTTGAAATCACCCTCCATTTTTGTTCGGTTCTGCCCCTCATTGAATGGTTTCTACTTCTGTAGACTAAGGTGAAGTATCTGAAGCTGACATCGGCCATGTTGCAGAAGGAGTTTGGAGGAGACATCCCAGACAGCGTGGAGGGGCTCGTCCGCCTGCCAGGAGTTGGCCCTAAGATGGCTCACTTGGCTATGGACATTGCCTGGGACCAGGTGTCTGGCATTGGTGGGGACACATTCCTGGAGCATGCACAGTCACTTACAAATAAATAAATGATGTCTAATGGAGCAGCAGGAATTCACATATTTGGAAACTGAACTGCAAGCTTCAGTCTGCCTCAGGCAATAGTTATCAGGTTTTCTTTCTTTTGGCAGCCTATAGATGTCTGCAGGGACTAAATATCCTTTTATAGAAGTTCTCATCAGAACACCTCACTCCCTGCATGCTATTGTACCACAATGTGTATCAATGTTTTTAACAACTTCGAAGAATTTGAGGTTGATAAAGTTGCAGCCTAGAAAAATAACAGGATGGAACGAATACTAGTATATCAGCAGAGTTGTGAGTAGCCTAAGAGTGAAACATAGTGGGGAGAGTCCACATGTATATGAGTGCATGTGCTCATTTATATTCTTGGTTTTTGTTCAGGTGTGGACACACATGTGCATCGTATCTCTAATAGGCTGGGCTGGCTGAAGAAACCTGCAAAGAACCCGGAAGAAACACGCAAGGCCCTGGAGGAGTGGTTACCCAGGTAACAGCATGACTGATTCACTGCTGATCCGTACAACCTGATTAACAGCCAACAAATCTATAAAGAGCAGAGTCACCAAGATTGACCGGGACACATGCAGCACAGGGTTGACTGATATGTTGAATGGTAGTACGCAACTTTTAAAATCAAAATCTGCAAAATGTCTATCACTTTTTAAAGTATGAGAAGTAGCATCTTGGGATACCATAGGGATACAATTATTCATGTCAGATTTGGGCAGAAAAATAATTTTATTTTAAAAGCCATAGTTAAATAAATATATACAGACATAAACAGTTTTTGTTTAATTTTCCAAAACCAGGACCTGGATGACTTAAAGCCAAATTGCCATCTAGTGTGTAACATTTAGGAGGATCTATTGAAATGGAATATAATATTCATAGGTATGTTTTCATTAGTGTATAATCACCTAAATATAAGAATCAATGTGTTTTTGTTACCTTAGTATGAGCTGTTTTTATCTACAGAGGTATTGAGTCCTTTTCTAGTCCACCAACACTGGCTGCAAGCCATACTTGGAAGGCGAGTAGTATTCAGTTNNAATCCTACATACTGGTCCTTTACTCAAATACATTTTTATTAACAATGTGATCACATGACTACATGTAATAGAGAGGGATCGCTATTCTGTATGAACCCACAGAATTATCACTCAACTGCTCCCCTTGAACATTATTGAGTCTTTCAGCTCATTGTTTTGGTTTTACAGCCTGAATACTTTACTGTTTTGCTGCTGTCATCAACCTTGTTTGGAACAAAAAGCTTTAAACCCGACCTGAAACCAGACAGGTGCAGCTAAAGAGTCAGATATTTCCCTCACAAACTGGTAGAGACCAAAACAGCTAAAAGGAGAGGGAATATTGGACTTGAGACATGACTTTAAATGAAACCTAATGTTGCTCCATAACTGCTGGTGGTGTAAAGAGTTGAAACTGTTCACATCAGCTTAAAGGTCCAGTGTTTAGTGGCATCTAGCAGTGTAGTTGTCGATTGCAACCAACTTGCCTTCTGATATATCTTAAGAGCAGTGTTCCCAAATGGCAATTAATGCAGGTTTAAAGTAGCCTTGAGATGTTCGTCTCACTCTCCGTTGCAGGGAGCTGTGGAGTGAGATCAACTGGCTGCTCGTGGGGTTCGGACAGCAGGTTTGTCTGCCCGTCAACCCTCTCTGCTCTGTATGTCTGAACCAGCACAGCTGTCCATCTGCCCACAAGAGCTCTCCTACAAAGAGGCCTAAAGCTGGATCCCCACGCTCTCCAAGTCCGACCTCTTCCTTTAAAACAAAAACTGAGCCTGAACAGGAATCTGCTGTTAAAGACGAGAGGATAAAGAAGCAGCTGCTGCCCACGCCTGTTTCCCCTACCACGAAGAGAAGGAGGCCAAAAAGCAAAGTTAATCATTGATTTAGCTGTTTTTGTCTGAGCTGTGACCAAATGTTAAACCAGAAGACTTGAATTTATTCGCGCACACACTGAAAACACACATCTGAGCTAAACATTGACGTCAATATTTGTTTCAGGATATTTGTATTTTCATCAGTTTGTTTGACACTATAATGACACGTTTAGCATTTTATATGAGATATTTGAGATATATTTTTGTACTGTTAGTGCTTCATTCTTTATTATCAATTAAAAAAAAAGGTATGTACTGAAAATGAATGTCATGGTCATGTTTCAAGTTTTCCCAGTTTGTCCAGTAGATGGAGTGTGTCTGTTGCATATGGAGGAAAAATACCAAGAACATAAACTTTAAAAGAATATTTAATTTCAGTTCATCAAAAGTAAAACTAAGTTAACTAACTTAACTAAGTTAAACTAATTTATAGTTATTTAATATAAGTTCCCCATGGATGCTGTACTTGGAATATATAGTGTACCATTATGAAACAACATGAACTAAATAGACAACACACAAGTTGTTTTAATTCCTTATCAATTTAGCTACATGGCTTATCACATCATATTCTACAACTACTAGGGCCTTAACTAGAAGTTTTCCCTCAATAACCTCCTAATTACTGTTTATTGATAGTAAGTAAGAAAGTTGTTGTACATTAATTATTATATTGATGTGCTTTGCTCAGTACTGGCCAAAGTCACGACTTTAAAGTCTTAAACCTGTATTCAACTTGAATTAAAATATTTTACTTTTTTTTTTTACTATCACAGTTAAAGTTGCTCATAACTAATCAAGATGTCACTTTAGAATGGGGAACATATTCTGAGTTAGAAAGACTTAATTTAGAGTTTTCTGGACACTATTAACACATGTAGTTCTGTGTTTTGTTACATAAGAATAAACCACCTTTATTAAGTGTTTTAAGGGAAAATTAGTATTCTTATAAGACCCAGTTTCAGCAAAGCCTATTAAGATTGTAATTCATGTACTTCCTTACTTACTATCAATAAGAAGTAATTAAGAGGTTGCTGAAGACTGAAGGTTGCATGCAGAACAAAGCATAAAAAAGTGCTTCATAATGACTAATAAAGAGTAAAACATAAACAACAATAAAAACATGACTGAACCTGTACAGCCAGCCTGTTGGTTACTGCTCAAAATATATCACAACATGAATATACTGAATGCTCAAAGTTATTATTCTGTTACATAACAATGAATAGTGTTAAACAATATCACGTTAATAGGCAGTACTAGTAATAATTGGATATGATACTATTATAGCAAGAGAATCACAGGAGAAATGAACAATAACAACTGCATCATTAGGCGTGTCACTAACAGGGAACCTGGTATTTCATGTTGGCTCCTGTCTGGCTCCCTACCACACTTAAATGGAACCCAGCCATGTTAATGTTAGTTACACCTGCATTTGTCTTGATACAAGAATGTCTTTCATCAGTTATTATTACACCGAACTGAAGCCACCGGGATTCTCAATGCACATATTTGTGGCAGTAGCTTTTCATTGTGTCATTATGTTATTTAGTGTTGGTTTGCAATTCTTAATGAAGTTTTTAACTAAGGGAGTATACTGTTGCCCACTGAGCTGCTTAAGCACCCAAAGGGCAAACCTTGAATATGGATCTGATGTATTGCTTAATAGGATTTCTGTCACAGGTAACAAAACAAAAAAAAGCTAAACTGCTGTCCTCGCCAATATCAGTATCAAGAACACACACCCTTAAACCAGGTTGTCCTGAATTACTTGAGAGACTCCTCTTTGAATGGATAAATGCTAGTAGGCCTGAATTACCACATCACAAACACAAGGAAAGCTTATATTTCATGAAACATTAAATCCCCTTTTACGCAACCGTCCCTTTATTGATCTCCAGTGAGGATAGGGATAGAGGGCGGATAAGGAAGATTTCCGTTCTCAGGTCACAGCCAGTCTGGTTTTACCTCCACCACCTGGGGCTAGCCTCTGCCTCTCTGGGAGCTGTAACAGGAGCAATTTGCGTTACATTGGACACGTTTCAAACGCATCTTGGCGTTCAAATGTTCTTTACAGTAACCTTTTCACAGCCTTATTACTGTTTATAGGCCATACTTTTCTGCCAGCACATCGCTGCTGCGTCGTCAGGTGTGCGCTAAAGGGGACGCAGTGGCAGCTGTTGTTGACGCCTCTTCGCTCCTGCACCGTGTCTGGTCGGACAGGAGGACACACGCCCCGCTAACGAGAAGAATTAAGTCTTACGTGCGAGGAGCTTTCTAATCTCTGATCTCTTGGATTACTCTTCCGATGGACGGGATTTGGGCACCGTCCGTGTGTTTTGGCCACTGTTTTACGCACACTGGGCACCACTTTTGCGCGCTCATATTTGCGCCCCTGGCATTTGCATGATGGATTAAACACTCATTAGTTTTAGCCTAGTTTTTGAGTTGTGCTCTCTGAACAATTGTGGATTATTAATGGACTCGCATCATGCTGAATGATGGTGATCGTTTGGTCGCTGAAGCGCGCAGCCGTACGTTGGATTAAGAGCCAGAGACTTTCCACCGCTCTTGGACCAAACACCTGTTTATTCCCCTGAGACATTTTGACCTGCTTTCCCCCTATTGACGCGCCGGGATGGAGAGCGAGCTGAGGCCCAGGCTCTGTTTCCTGACCAAAGGAGAGCGCGGCTATGGCTTTCACTTGCACGGCGAGCGGAATAAAGGCGGACAGTTTATTCGCAAAGTGGAACCGGGCTCCTCGGCTGACCTGGGCGGGCTGCGACCAGGGGACCGGGTGGTGGAGGTGAATGGGGAGAATGTGGAGAAGGAAACCCACCATCAAGTGAGTGATGGCTCAGTAAAAAAAAGTTTTTCTTTTCTTTTCAAATAAAAAAAAACTCCCTCTACTCTTGCGTGGTACAGAGAAACCATGAGAGGCACATCAACCCTCTGAGGTAGAAACAATGAGTTCTATACCTGTTAGACAACTTTTTCCTTTGCCTGAGGAGGAGGAGGAGGAGGGGGGCTACTAAAATGGGTCAGTGTGAGCTTTGTGTAATGATAATCACTGGGTGTCTCTGTCATGCTAAAAGTATGTTATATGCAGTAAACAACATGCACACAACTTCACACTAATGGTTTAAATTTGTCCTAAGTTCCTCTCTTTTGCTCCTCTCTCCTGCTTGCAGGTGGTGAACCGTATCCGTGAGGTGCCCCACCGCACCAGGTTGCTGGTGGTGGACAGGGACACGGATGACTACCTCCGCAGTCATGGCCTGGCCTGCACCGAGGACCTGGCCATTGAGATGGGAACCCTCTCCCCGCGCCCCTCACCGGGGCCCACCCCTTCTACCTCTCCCATACCCAGAGATAATTCACCCCTGTCACCCAAACCCAACCACACATTCTCATTTCCCCCTCCTGCTGCAGACTCGCCCACACACATGATCACAAAAGGCAATGTCAAGAGATCCTCAATGACATCAAGTACAGCGACAGACACAGAGGTAAGGATGGATCAATGCATCAGGCCCATGCTTGTGGTCACTTGAAGAACATGTGAGGGTTTTTATGGATTAGAATAGAAAAGAGAGGGAAGAGTCCAAATTCTGGAGTTGAAATGGTTAGTTTGGTCTCTCTGGCTGGCAGTGTGTTACTGTGTTAAGACACTGGCTGGATTTAGTCACAAAGCAGTGCCTTTAGACAGAGTCTGGTGACTTCTCTAAAGAAAACTTTAAAAACAGGAGAAAAACAGGCCTCAGGTGTACTGAGACAAACTGGAGAAAACATTGTAAAAGAATGAACTGAAGCGACAAAAGGGGCAAGAAAACATCCATGTGCGGGCACTTTTGCAGGGCTGCAAGTTAAGACTGGCTGGCTTGAAATGATTTTGTTGCTTGAATTTATTAGTTTTTGTTTTCTATAGCTGGATGTCTTGGACAAATGTAATACCAACACAACATGGGCACAAAAACATTGCACAAGCCCACTTCTTTCAGTCTAAATTAGGCTGTAAAGTCCATTGTAGAGTCTGCAGGGAGTACAAATAAAACAGTGAACAAAAGAACTGTAATTACAGAAGGTTTAAAGGGATGTGTCTCCTCCTCTCTACCACAGTGCAACAGTGGGGTTTTAACTTTACCTGCCATTCAAACATTTGCTTAAAATGATCTGACCCCATTGTTACATCGGTTTACAAACCACGTAGTCTCAGAGCAGTGTGAACATTTTATAATGCATATTGTATTTAAAGAACACTGTCTCCTTGTGCATACTGAGTGTTAACACCTCACACATTGAACTGTAGAATTCTTCACACCTGAGTGCAGACACCCGAGACAAAACCCCACAAAAACTGACCTACAAAAACATACAGAACTGTAGGTATAGTTTAGTCAAACTAAATGATCATTTTGGAGAAGTAGTGTAAGAAAGTGGGCACTAGGTGGAGGTGTAAACCATGTACTCACTTCACTGATTTGCCTTAAATTGTTGTTATTCTGTTTTGTATACAGGGCTGAGATTTCTTACAGCCCAAAGTTCTTCCTCTACCGGTGCTGTACTGGCTTGGTGATGATGGTGATTATCACTCATCTAGTCTGCTTGACTTTTATTTGCGTCGGTTTTGACAAAGCATGCTTTGAGTGTCTGCTGGGATGAAAGACATGGGAAGGATCAGATGTTAAGATTGCAATGTTGCACATCCAAACTCTTTGCGAAGGTATTGTTATCTATTGGTGTTGTTTATTGTGGGCATGCAATCTCACTCTGTCCTACTGTGGGACCTCACACACCTCTGACCTTACAACTAAGAAAAGGGAACAGATTTAGACACATTCTTAGGTATCTACACTTTGTTAATGTACACAAAATACAAACTCATTCATATTCCTAAATGTTTGAGCCAGAAAGTGTGACACAGCAAAAACAAAATTTCCACAAGTGCCAACCAGACATCAGAGTGACGTCTTTATGTCAGCCTGGACGTGGAAATAACCGGGAACTGTCTGTCGAAGATTGAGCTCAGTGTTTAGGCTTCAAACAAAGTCGATCAGGATCCTCGGGACCAGTGGCTCATGTTAAACTGCCATCTGTTTAGCCGAAAGGCAGAGTAAATACAGGCTGCCCCTTGGCTGGCCATCCCGACTCTCTTTCTCAGTTTTGGTTATATGTTCAGATTAAACAACAGAATATGCAATAACAGCAGAGCCTATACAGAATAGTGGAACCTATTACATTACCAACAATTGTGACGAGCTGAACCTCCAACCAAAACATCATTTTATAAGCTTCAAAAGCCTTCAGATGGTTTTATGAATGGCATTAAGTTGTGCACGCATTATTGTGTCCACTTTCTCTATATGGAGTAACAGGGAGCCTTGAATTAGGAATTGTAAACATTTATGAAATAATTTCCACTGTTATGAGGTCTGTTGAGTGCACAAATAGGTCTGTGCTTTTAACTGTTAATATACCAGATAAAATAAAGGCTTTTAATAATGTTTTTTCTCCTTGCTCTAAGAATGCCTGGAGAATGGGTCTTTTTACAAACCAGTTTTGATAAGAGCACCTAAAATTAAAGGTGGGGTCATTAATTCAGGAGAAAAACAGTTGATTGTTGAGTCCATTCCCAGGTTATTATATGCAGATGTATTTGGACAACCTGGGAGCACGAAGACCAACAATCAGCTATCTTTCTTCAAAATGACTAACACCACGGTATCAACTTCTAAACATTTTCAATGAGTGCCTTGCATGTGAGGGATTACTTTCGTCCACTAATTCAGCCTCTTCAATGAGGAAACCATTATGGCGTATTAATCCCAGGTTGACCCCACTGAAGCCCTGTGCTCTGACACACACTCACACACATGAACTGTCTCTCTAAACTCTCCTCTTCTGTGTCATTCATCTTGTGACATTCACATTGTACACGTCAATACAGTCACAAGTTCTTTGTTGCATGATGTTATTATGGCAGCACATGCCCATATACAGGAGTCTTACATAACAGTCTGGCTCAGTCATACACGCAAGTAAAACACTTTGATCAGCTTCTCTAAATAAAGGCCTTTTTTTCATAAAGTTCAGAACAAAAGTGATTTTTAAAATTGTCAAACAAATTATAAAAATGCCTTTCACAATTTAAAAGTCCAGAATCCAAAAATATTTGATTAATTTACAGTCATATAAACAAAGATACACCAAATTCTCACATGTAAGAAACTGGAACCAGTGAATGTTTTGCATCTTTGATTGTTTTGTTTGAAAATTACTCAAAAGAATTATTGATTAGTAGATATGTGGAAGGCAATAAATTCTTTGTCCAACAGATAATTGATCAATGGACTTGTTCCTGCACTAACTGACTTGATTATCATGCCTGTAACATGGAAATACTCACATACAATATTTCCAGGTCAGTGTAGTGTGTAGCCTGTGTGTGTGTGTGTGTGTGTGTGTGTGTGAGTGTGTGCGTGTGTGTGTATGTGTGTATTTGTGTGTGTGTGTCACTTAATTTAGGCCGACATGACAAAAATAGTAAACAGGCCAGCAACATAAATGGAGATCTCTAAAACCAGTAGGAGACAAGGTGACCGTCACCACAGCGACCTGACCTGTCACCATGGCGTTCTGTCGCCAAGGCGTTCTGTTCCATCACTACAGCTCACAGACAGGGATGTACTCTGCTACAGGGATAGACATATTATCATTCATACACACTCACAAGCCTGTGGACACTCTTTCCGTGTATGCGTGTGTGTGTGTGTGTGTGTGTGAGTCTGTTGTTGATGGAGCATAAAGGACAGAGAGATCTGTCAGAAATGTGCAATGTGTCAACTCTTGTTGTTGGTCATTAGGTCTTAATGTCTCTCAGCCTGATCCACTTAGCCCACTCTGCTCAGCTCTGAGACCACTGGTTCATCCTGTCAGCCACTTTCTCCTCCGGCCACACCACTGTGTTACTAGCAGTGTTGGGGGAGTAACGGCGTTTAAGTATAACGGCGTTATTTTTTCAGTAACGGAG